AAGTTTTTTAAAATAATAAAATTATCATATAATAGAAGAGGAGAGAGGGAGAGAATCAGATGGAAGACCTGAAAAGTGGCTTTTGCGTTTGGAGATAATAATTTTTTTGAAGTGGGAATTTCTTTTATTTATGTCCAAACTTCATTATCTTTTTAAGGTTAGGTAGATTTGAAAGTAGTTGCTTTAGAGATAATAAAGATAGAATAAATTTTGAAAAATGATTAAAAAAAAAAAAAAAAAACATTGAAATTAAAAAGTGTAAGAATTAATTTAATTAAAAAAATAAACCNTTGACATTAAAAAGTGTAAGAATTAATTTAATTCAAAAAATTAACCACCACAAGTATTCTTAACCTCTTATAATAATTTATCCAAACACAGTCAAAATAGGTGAAAAATAAATTGATAAGAGGCCCAAAGGGTAAATAACAACAATCATGCTATAGTGGTAGATGGGTTGACAAAAAAGTTGACATAATGTCACATGATATTCTATCATTAGACTTGTTGACATTAAAAAGTGTAAGAATTAATTTAAATCAACTTTGAAAGCAAAATAAAGAAAAATTCAGAATTTTTATTGATAATCACTTATAAGTTACAAGTGTTTCATCAATGGAGATATTTTAGATATCCCCGTCTTATCTTTCCTATCCAAAGATACCTCGCACCCTTTTATAGGAAAAGAAAATCAAGTATCACCCACTTTCATGTCTTGTTAATCACCAGTGTCGAACTGAAAAAGTACGTTGCTGGCATACCTCCATTGGCTGCTGAGGTCGACTTGTCATGTTATCATAAAATTGTTCTTTAAGTGGGTCTCTAGCAACTAATGAGCTAATGAGTAAGCGAAGCTCTACATCATACAATTGGTGAAATAAGTGGGTCCCGATGTAAGTTCCGAATGCAATAATTAATTTGATTGGATGTTTCATTAGTGTAAGAAATCTATATAGTTTGTGGAAACAAGATCTCAGCCTCTGTTTGATGCACATTTTTTTCCTTAATAATGCATTTTTTTATGTGATAGGGAACATGTGGTTGAAAAAAAAAGAAAAATTATTGATGTGATGAAAAATATTATTTTAGTAAAAAATGTGTGATTAAAAATGTGTAGAAAAATGAGAATGAAAAAATAATGTGGCTCAAATAGGGGCTTATTTACAAACAAAATAAAATTAGGACTTAAAATAATTTACCATTATAGTTTGGGGTGTTTACCCTATAAATAAACAGCATTTATTAGCATTGAAAAAAGGCGCATGCAGAAGGAGTACGATGTCAAAAGAAATTCATAATCGTGGCAGACACTGACAGGAATTAAACTAATTGTCGGATTTTGTTCCCAATGTTGGAAGTATTAGAAACATCTTATCTATAGAGAATATTTTTAAATTTAATTTTTTTATACACTCTAACAAATTTACTATTTTGATTTTCTCAAAAAAATATTTATTGATTTCATATCCTATATTTTATTTAGAGCTTGTTTGGGAGGGATTAAAATCAGATTAAAATTGAAAATATAACCGCTAGAGTTAATTTTTATTAGAATAACAACTATATTTTCAAATTTAATTGGATTTTAATCATTCCCAAACAATCTCATAATATAATTTTTCATATATATCAATTGATCAATCAATTTAAATGTGGTTGGAATAGTCGAAGAAAATAAAGTATTAAAATATGTGATTTATTAAATGGAATCACTGTATATTAAGCCCTTGTTTATTGGCCATTTTTTTTGGGAAAAATTTTGTTTTGAATAGTAAATTTTTTTAGGCCATGTTTGGGAGGGATTAGATTTTTCTACAGTAAATCAATTCTCATTTTCAACCATACATTATTCAATAAAATAATATTTTCCATCACATCAATAATTTTTTCTTCTTTTTCAACCACACATTTCCCGTCATATCACTATTGAAAAATCAATTCTTCCCCCAAAAATCCCTACCAAACANCCTACACTGCCTATGGTAAGGGCGGCACTGTTACACTGTATCAACTTACAATAAGAAACTAAGGCCCTGTTTGGTACAGATTCTCATTTTCTACAGTAAATCAATTCTCATTTTCAACCATACATTATTCAATAAAATAATATTTTCCATCACATCAATAATTTTTCTTCTTTTTCAACCACATATTTCCCATCATATCACTATTCAAAATCAATTCTTCCTCCAAAAATTTCTTCCAAACAAGCTCTTAGAATGTGTGATTAGAAAGTACGAAAAATTTTTGAATTTACGTATAAAATATTTTATTGTGTGAATGAGCGATTGAAAATGAGTGTTGAAAATAATTTTAAAGGAATGGAAGATAAACACGAACTAAAAATAGAGAATCTCTTAATCTCATTTTTAATCATCGACTCTCTAAAATAAAAAGTATTTAGAGAAGCTCCTCTTAGGCAATACTCATAGGTCAGTTAATTTAGGGTGTTTTTGATGGATATCGATGGGAAAAGAATGTATTTTAAATAATAATTTGATGGGAAATATGTGGTTAAAAAATAAGGAAAAATTATTGATATAATGAAAAATATTATTTTATTGAAAAATATGTAATTGAAAATTAATTTTGAAAGAATGTGTACCAAATTGGGGCATAAACTATGATTTAGAAGAGGTTTGGTTAGTGGCCAAATGCTGAAAATATCTGTTAAAAGTGTTGGTCAACTAACCTTGATTAGAACAACTTAACTGTGGTTAAGTTAATGTTAAGTTACTGCTTGAAATATCCACAGGTTTTGAGTGACAATCATCACCCCCTCTTTTTCGTCCATGGCCTGCAGTCCAACCTTCTTCGTCGATCTTTCATCCAATTTTAAGATCAGAATTACAATTGAAAAAAAAAAAAAAAAAGTAAATGTCAAGGTTTACAGGATATTTGATGGAGATTAAAATTAGATTTTTAGTAAATTGTAATAGAAATTTTTGAAATATGTGGTTGAAAAATTGTGGAACCCATGAAAGAAGTCGTTAATATCGATTGTTTGACTTTAACTTAGATTAAAAACAGATTTTAATTCGGACCAAACATGGGCTTAAACTTTTCGGATTAAGTTGCTACAAGTCCAACTCTAAAAATCAACATTGCAAAATTTTCAAAAAATATTTTTGAGGAAATTACACCAAACCA